TCACTGCAGCTTTTACGGAGAAAAAACCCTCTTTTCTACAGAGCAAAAGCTCCCAAAACAAGAGCAGAACCTCCCAAATAATTTCCCTTCCTTTAGCAGAAATCTGTGGGGACGTGGAAACGTGGGATCCAGCAGCAGGAAACACTCACCAGCCAAGTAGAGCGTGTGGGAATTCTTGTTCTCCGGCACTTTATCCGACCGCTCACAGGGCTGCATTCCCAGGAACTTCACGATGTTGTTGACAGCTTCTGCATTCAGGGATGAAAAAAGGAAATTACCTCCAGGTAATTCCCTAAAAATATATATCCCAGCCTGGCAGATTTACCACCAATAAATGAGGGACTGTCTCACCATCGAGGGTTTTGATGGAACTGAGGGCAAAGGTCTCTTCCTTCTCAAAGTCATCTCCCACTTCTTCCCAGGCCGCTGCAAAGTTGGGCTTTAAAACCTTCTGGATGTGGTCGGACACGGTCACTTCCAAGTCTTCCAGCTGAGGGGAAAAGGGAGGGAGATTTTCAGGGCAGTGGCAGGAAAGGAGCCTCACCCTGGGAAGGGAAAGATCCAGTGGTGTTTTGCCAGGACAGCTCTGCCGTGCCTGGCTTGAATTTTTGGGAGAAGCACGTGACAACGGCGCCTAAAAATGGGGAAAAACTGGGTTTATTCTGCTCATTTGTAAACATGAAAAACATCCACACAGAAGAGACTAAAAGAGAAGAGAAAATCAGGTCATTACTCGGTGGCTTAAAGCCCTTTATAGCCCTCACTGGGCATCCACTGGGAGAGATTTCCTCAGGATCCATGGAATCACACTGGGCTGGGTTGGAAGGGACCTTAAGGACCATCCAGTTCCATCCAGGGACACCTCCCACTATCCCAGGTTGCTCCAACCTGGCCTTGGACACTTCCAGGGGCAGCCACAGCTTCTCTGGGAATTCTATTCCAGCCCCTCCCCACCCTCCCAGCCAGCAATTCCTTCCCAATATCCCATCCATCCCTGCCCTCTGGCACTGGGAAGCCATTCCCTGTGTCCTGTCCCTCCATGCCTTGTCCCCAGTCCCTCTCCAGCTCTCCTGGAGCCCCTTTAGGCCCTGCAAGGGACTCCAAGGTTTTCCTGGAGCCTTCTCTTCTCTCAACACTTCCTGACACCTGACTTATATTTCCACGATAGACAGAAGTGCAAAAGCTTGGGGTGGGAAAGACTGATTGTGAAAACAAACAGTGGAAATCATTCCTTCCTTTTTTTCCCCTGCCTGCCCCCACCAATCCTGTCTCCACAGGGCAATTTTTGGGGAAGGACCCAAAACGACAAGTTGGGGAGTATTTTGGCGTTCCAGGCAGGAACATCCTTCCCTCCAAGCGACTCCAAGGTCTGAGAGGAAACCATCCCACGTGTATTCCCAACTAATGGCAAGGGGAAAAGGAAGCAGAGCCCGGACTCACCACGTACTCATCCTCGTAGCCATCCTCCTCTGGCACCCCCGTGTTGGGGTCGCAGTCCCGCACCGTGAACTTCATGGTGCAGCTGAAGGTGCAGGACACTGGGAAGCAGAGAGAGAAATCCGGGATAATCAGCGCCAGAGCCCTCCCTTCCCAAAAAAAACCCCAGAGACTGGAATGAGTATCCATCAGAAATACGCTGATTTTAAGGGGAAGGCCAAAGGGCTGTGGGATAACAAGCACCCTGATCCCCAGTGGGATCCAGGAGGGATTCCACCAGGATTTCGGCCAAGTGGAGCACGATGCAGAGCTCAGGGAATTCTGATTAGTCCTCATCTTGCCTGCTATTAAAGCAACAACCACTGCACTGACGAGCTGAGTCATGTTAAACCCACTGAGTCATGTTAAACCCACTGCAGATCCAGTGGTGAGGAATAAAAGAAAGGAAGGGAAGTCTCGTGGCCAGGAAAATCCCATTCCTACATTTCACAGTCGATTCTAACTCACTAAAGAGGGGAATAATTCCACTGGTCAATTAAATAGAGTCCTAAACTACTAATATTTTTATGATTTGCATTATTTTTCAGTGTTTGCATTTTCCTTTGACTGGTTCTGATCTTTACCATCCCCAAAATGTTCATGTGCTCCTTGCCTTGATTCCAGGTACTCAATTCCAGTTTCCACCACCTGCACCCTCTCAAATCTGCTTTAAATCCCAGTTTTAACCATCCAACACCACTGAATGTTTAAAAACCACGTCAAATCCTTTGCACACACACTTGGGTTCTACCCAAACCCCTGTGATGCCAAACCCCAAACGCTTGGGTGTTCTCCCAACCGTTCCTTTGAGGGATTTCGTGGTGCACAGATGATCCCTCCCAAGGGGTACCTGCAGTGGGGTCGTCCTGGGGGATCCTGACCAGGGTGTAGCACATTCCAGGCTGGTTGTAGGCCAGGCTGGGAGCTGGGATGCAGCAGAGCACGTCGTAGGCGTCCGACGGCTCCACCTGCACCGTGACCCTCTCCAGGAGCTGGTCGTTGAGCGTGTTGGTGCAGTCGAACTGCGGCAGAGCACAGGACAAAACATTCCCCGTGGAGGGTTATTCCCTGAAAACGCTCCCCTGGCAGGCAGCAGCCACCCCCCAGCTCCCTCCTATTCCTGGGAAAAGCCAGGGAGATCCCTCACCTGGAAGACGATGTGGTTGGGGAAGACGTGTTTGACGCAGCGCACGAAGTACTCGGTCTCTGCTTCCGTGAGCTGGACGGGCTCGGAGCACCAGAACAGAGGACCCAGGCTCTGGAATTCTGGGATGGCTGCCAGTTGTTCTGGAGAGGGAGGAGATGAAGGTTAAGGATGGGACTGTCCACTGCTCCCACCGGTGGGGATTATCCCAAGGCTTCACAGGATCAAGGAATGGTTTGGGTTGGAAGGGAACTGAAAGATCGTCTGAAGGCAGGGACACCTCCCATTATCCCAGGTTGCTCCAGCCTGGCCTTGGAGACTTCCAGGGATCCAGAGGCAGCCACAGCTTCTCTGGGAAATCCATTTCAGACCCACCCCACTCTCCCAGCCAGCAATTCCTTCCCAGTATCCCATCTAACCCTGCCCTGTGGCATGGGAAGCCATTCCCTGTGTCCTGTCCCTCTAGGCCCTCCTCTGGGAGTGAGTGGGGTGGGAAGAGCTCCCTGAGGGCTCCTGGGGGTGGGAAGAGCTTCCTGAACCCTCCTGGGGGTGGGAAGAGCCCCCCGAGGGCTCCTGGGGAAATGGAGAGAGGAGAGCAAGGGTTGTGTGAGCTGGAGGTTGGAAAAGCTGGATCATGGAATCATACAGAGTGGTCTGGGTGGGAAGGAAAATGAAGGATCATCCAGTTCCATGGGCAGGGACACCTCCCACTATCCCAGGTTGCTCCAACCTGACCTTGGACACTTCCAGGGATCCAGGGGCAGCCACAGCTTCTCTGGGAAATCTGTTCCAGCCCCTCCCCACCCTCCCAGGC